TGTTGGATGTTGGGGGGGGGGGGCGCAAGAGAAATTAGACAGACTTGGGGGGGCGCCTGTCCTAAAAGGTTGAAAACCCCTGGTTTATGTAAACCTGTCTTTGTGTGTATTCGCAAGTTTAAGAAGAAGATCCTAGTTCAGCATTCACGCTGTGTGACAGACTTTCTGTGCGTGTGCGAAGAAACAATGTCAGGACAGCACGCGAGCAAAATCATTTGAAGGTTAAAACTGGAATGGCTATAAAACGCTTGTCTACCGATATATACGCCCAGAACTACCGCTACAATGCTAACATATGATGTGTATGTATGTCGTGTCATGCAGTATGTTGTAACGGATGCACCAGAACTGCCACTGGTACAATGTCACTGTAGCACAATTACGATCAAAGGCAAACTGTGGGGAAATTTTATTTGTTCACGATCTAATATCGCACCATGTGTTTGGTGTGTGTCAGACGTCAATGTGACTGTGTGTCAATATAACTACTGTGGACCATCCTTTTTTTGCACAGACCAAACAATCTGCCACTCACCATTATTTAACATTCATCTCATAAAAGTAACTGTACAATGTGTATTTTGGTCTCACAAAAGACTCTAGTGTGCACGCACATGTTTAACAGTGCTCATTCGATATCTAGTAAAATGCCAAATAAAAAAATCAGTAACTTGTATATTCAGCATATATGATAAAGAAAAGCTCTACTTAACAGTTACTTACCTTCACCGTGGATGAGCAGTCCTCTTCTGAGATCTGGTTTTCTAAAATGGCTACAACAAATTGCGCGGTTCAAATTTAAAATGGCCACAACAAATTGCGCGGTTCAAATTTAAGCTGCTTGGGTCCTAAAAAATTGTTAATTTTACTTCTTTTTTTTTTTATATTGTTGACTTTACTCAAAATTACTCGTTGTTTTTCTTTATTAATTAAAGTAAACCATAAACTCAGTATGTTATGTAACATTTGTAGCTTTAAATTAAAGGGGTCATATGATGCTGCTAAAAAGAACATTATTTTGTGTGTTTGGTGTAATGAAAAGTGTTTATGTGGTTTAAGGTTAAAAAACACATTATTTTCCACATACTGTACATTACTGGATAGATAGATAGATAGATAGATAGATAGATAGATAGATAGATAGATAGATAGATAGATAGATAGATAGATAGATAGATAGATAGATAGATAGATAGATAGATAGATAGATAGATAGATAGATAAAATATTTTAAATTGAACTATATTTTAAAGTTTTAGGACATGTATTAGTATTATTGAATATTATTGTTTAAAAGACATACTTTTCAACAAGGATGCATTGAATTAATGTCAAAATTGACAGACATTTTCTGTAACATAATAATCAAAATAAACAACAAATGCAACTGTTTCAACATTCATTATAAAGATAAATGTTTCTTGAGCACCAAATCAGCCTATTACTGTAGAATGATTTCTGAAGGATCATGTGCTAAAAATTCAGCTTTGCTGTTACAGGGATACATTTTATTTGAAAAATACAATATTTTTTACTGTATCAAATAAATGCAGCCTTGGTGAGCATAAGAGACTCGCATAAACCTAAATATACATAACCGTATATATACTGTATGTGTGTGTGTGTGTGTATATATATATGTATATATATATATATATATATATATATATACTTATTAAAATTAGATAAACATCAGTGTTTTTATTCCCCCACAGTTGTTATGGAGGCCTGGGACGCTCAGGGTTAAGTAAGTATCAAATGCTCAAACAGGGTTCAGTGTTATGATTAATGTTAGTCCCGTATGTGTGATTGGGAGTTTAACTTGTGCTTCATTGTCACAGTTGCTGCATGTTTGCTGCTGCTGCTCTCTGTCTCCATGACACCCAGTGCTGCTCTGGAGATCCTGAGGGAGCTGAGAGGAGGTGGAGCCATTCAGACCGTCAAGGTAAGAGGCATCCAGAAACCTAAATGCATCACTTCCCCTAACCGTACAGCTAACCTATTAATGATGCTTTCTCATTTGTCTCCTATAGCAATACAACTTCCTTCATGAGTTTCGGGAGAAGTTTGAAGCATATCAAGAAACCAAAGAGCGACTTTCAGAGAGATCAGTGTCCCGATGATCAACCTGACATCCAGATGATGTAAAAGCAGAAAAAAAGACAAATTACTTTGATTGGTGTTTTTGCTCTATGGATTTTCTCTACTTTGATTATGAATGCATTTGTTTCTTTTCTGATGGCACTTTAAAAATTCTGTATTTTTAAGTCAATCTAATAATATTGTGCTTAATATATAACTTTAACTTTGCAATTAAGTGGGTCTTGTTCAGTAAGTGAGTCTTAAAGGTGCAGCAAGTGATTTCTGAGACACGCTGTTGAAAATTGTAATCAACACCCAAACAAACAATTTTGTGAATATTTTCTATCTGTTTTTTCTATGTATGTTGAAACAAATTGTTTGTGTAGAGTCCTGGCTGTGTAAATAAGGGAGAAACGTGGATCAGACCGAGCACCATAACACTCTTGTAGCCAATCAGCAATAGGGGCGTTTACGCTCATGATGGGGAGGAGAGAGCCTGAGCAAGCAGGAGATTTGTCTAGACTGTAGAAAGAGAGATGGCTGATGCATTACCAAGAGAAAAATGTCACAAGAATATCTTTAAAAGAAGGCTTACAATCAGGCAACCTCTAGGACCTGCGTTAATATGGGGAAAGCTTTCGGCACCGAGGTTGCTGTGTTTCCTCTCGGTATGCGAGTAACATTGGTTTTACTATATTTCACAAAACCAACACATGCTGTTGCAATATTATCTATAGCGCTGCTGGTGCTTGGCTATTACAAAAATAATTTCATCATTGGCTATTACAGCTATGATGAAAACATCCGTTTCGGCAGACACAGTCTTGATAAACCATCTGTTATAGTTGTATGTGTTGCATGGCGTTCATGAATTTTTGTCTTATTCAGACATTGTTTCTTAGAAATCGGTTGGCGCCTAAACATGATGTGTCTGCATTATATCGTGCATTATCTGCATTAATCCTGCCCAGTCGATCAAATTGAGAGAAATGTTTATTTTTGTGTCTGGGAAACCATATGTTGCTTATGTGAGTAATGGTGATTTGGATGGTGGATTAAGGTATTATGCAGCTGTTGGCAATCATTCCTGGCAATTTTCTTTTCAAAGTGGTCATTAGTAAGGAAATTTATAAAGTTTGCAACAATTACGTTACCTATGAAATGAACCAAACCTTTAATTTAAACAGAAACACAAATCGTCATACAATCAAAACAGCTCAAATGCTGTCGTGAATGATGAAAAATATTTTCATATTTTTTCATATTTCATTTCATACTTCATATTTGCCACATGATAATAAAACTATGACTAATATCCAGAAGTAAGCCTATGGGCGAGACTTCCGGTTCAACAGCATGCAGTAAACAGTGAAACTGTTTGTAGTACAAACCAGTGTTAATTAAGATAACGCATTACAATAATATGCTAAGACACCAATCTGCAATGTCAAGCAACAAAACAAGCTGTTTTGTACAGCTAAAAATAGCTGGACCCATAAAATTTACAAATGGCCGCGCCCACTTTTATGGGAAAAATAAGGAGCTTTATGCAAAGCAGCATCACTGTTTTATAATATCAGTTTTATAAAAGTCATTTTTATGATTGGGAAAATATTTCTTAAAAACTTTAAATGTAAGCAGTCAAACTTTTAATTTTTTTAAGTTGAAATTACTAACAAAGCTGAAAGTTTTTTTTTTTTTTTTACTATTATAAGCATTACATGTCACAAAATTAGCAATATTATCATTCTTAAGTGATTATATAAAAAAAAATTTACTGTCCTATTCTTTCAGTTTAAACCAAACCCATTTTACCATAATTACTTTAGCCAAATGGAATAAACTTAAGTTAATACAAAATGGCATCATAAAATGACCATTTGTCATAATTTGTCTATGGGAGGCTTTATTGGGAACTTTAAGCAATATTACAAGCCAAAAAGAAAAGAAAAAAAAAACAATTTACTATATCTCTTGCAAGACTTTATAACATTCAAATGCACATAATGCTGGGTTCACACACACAGGGGGGAAAAAGCTAACAGAAAAAAAATCTAAATCACAGGGAAAATCAAATACAAAATCAAAAATAACTTATTACTCTGAATATAACCTTGGTGGTCCAGCTTGGTGATTATGAACAGCTATCAGTGTGGTAAAGAATCCTTCCACACAGCTCTGCTCTGAATCCAGATACAAACTCTACAGCATCACCTCAGGACAGAAGCCTGTTTGTGATTACTGACAGGCTAAAAGAAAACGGCATCTTGGCACACTGAGATCATGCCAACATCAAACCAAAATATTCAAAATAGTGTCCACACTCATCTCTAACTCACAAAAACAATGGAAGTAAAACAAAATCAGAAAACAATAACAGTTAGAAATACGAAATGCACATAATAAATTTAAAAGCAAAAAAAAAAAAGTTACATGTGGAGTATTTCCAGGGTGTATGAGCAAAGTAAAGCCTTCAACACACTGAAAGCATCAGTTCTCATTTCCTACCAAAAAGACAGTAAACAGTAGTTTTAACAGTATCTGATAAGAACTATCAACATGAAGCAGACCACCAGCATGAGCTCAAAAACACGGACTTACAAGATCATGAACCACCAAAGCAGCACACGACTCTGAAGGACAAATTAAAGAACTGACTGAGCTACAAGGCAGTAATATATTTAAGATAAAATAAGTCTGTAAAAATGATACAATCAAGATCTTTATTTTGTCCCACAGTTTGAAAACACAAGAGTAAAATCTTTGCACATTTCCATCAGTGGTATAGTGTTGAAGCCCTTGTGCCTCTGCTTTGGACACGATCTGGTCAATGTAAACGGTTTCAGCTCATCTGCTGATGCTTTCAGTGTGTGAAGTGCTTTGGCATTGGTGCGGCATGTGTATATAAGTCTAAACAGGTTGTACTGAAGAGTTGGTAATCATTTATTTTTGCATGTATGGTTCTGGAGTTGTGCAGGCTGCTTGCGTCCTGGATCGTTCTTGGCCAATGAGGTGTAAGTAAAGTCAATGTCCTTTTGAAACAGCCGAGCAGAACTGAGAGAGATGGCAGAGTCCAAATTCAGTTTTAAAATCAGCATCTCAAACGCTTCCTTATATGCTTTCCAGCTGCATCCAGTTTAGGAGCTCACCAAAACATAGATCATCCTATAATAGAAACACCAGAGAGAAACATAAGCTATAGGGTTTCTGATGAAACAACACGAACGATAGATAGATAGATAGATAGATAGATAGATAGATAGATAAATTTCTTAGAGGAAAAAAATACTGACTCCTAATTTTTGAATGAAAGTGTATTAAAAACAACATTTACATATTCAAAAATTGTATTTTTAAACTCTACATACCCGTAAAGATAGTAGAAGAATGAGAGGAGGTAGAATGCAAGTTTGCACCATCCCTCCTTCTGACAGTATGCCAGAATATCTGCGTTCATTATTGTAGTGGGGTCATACAATCCAGGTCCACTCATCACAGGGCGGCTCATATACCTGCACACAAACAAACACTTGACGTTGCACTTTGAGCAAGACACAATGTTGACTAATCACTTATTAACTGTAGAGAAACTAACTTGACACATCTGCTGAGGTGTTTGATATATTCTCTGTGATTCATTTAGGGCTGAGAGCCCCACCCACCTCCAGATGTGATAGGACAGCAGGGGCATGTTGAGTCCAAGCGTCAGCCATTCTGCGGCGCACAGGAACATTACGCAGAAGAACACATGGATGAGGTACTCCGGCAAGACGAGCTGAGGAAGCCAAATAATACATGGTCAGAACTCCGAAGACAACACAAATACACAGATCCATCTCAGAGACTAGAGTTCTATTGCACCCACAGGGCGGCTCATATACTTGCACACAAACAAACACTTGATGTTGCACTTTGAGCAAGAACAATGTTGACTAATCACTTATTAACTTTAGAGAAACTAGCTTGACACATCTGCTGAGGTGTTTGATATATAGCCAATAAATACGAAATGTGTGTTTCTCTGCGATTCATTTAGGGCTGAGGGCCCCACCCACCTCCAGACGTGATAGGCCAGCAGAGGCATGTTGAGTCCAAGCGTCAGCCATTCTGCGGCGCACAGGAACATTACGCAGAAGAACACATGGATGAGGTACTCCGGCAAGACGAGCTGAGGAAGCCAAATAATACATGGTCAGAACTCCGAAGACAACACAAATACACAGATCCATCTCAGAGACTAGAGTTCTATTGCACCTGAAGCCTGTGCCCCAAGTCTAGCCAATCAGGTGTAAGAATCATTCATATTAACCCCATCCCATAAGCTCCAGTACTTACTGATCTGCTTAAGTACATCTAAATCTCTCTAAACCTCAAAAGAGCAGGATCTGCTGAGAATAATTGTCATAAATTATCATTTAAAGGAATAGTTCACCCAAAAATGAAAATCTGCTCACCCTTAGGTTATACAACATGTATGTTCATTAGAAGAAATTGAGAAATTTAGCATTACATCACTTGCTCACAAATGGATCCTCTGCAGTTAAATGGGTTCCGTCAGAATGAGTCTAAACAACTGATAAAAACATCACAATAATCCAGTAAGTAATAGATTTATTACAAACACACAGCTTTTTTTTTACATTAATTGCTGGATTGGAGTCGTGTGAAGTACTAGTGGATTATGATGCTGTTTTTATCAGCTGTTTGGACTCTCATTCTGACGGCACCCATTCACTGCAGAGGATCCATTGGTGAGCAAGTGATGTAATGCTAAATTTCTCAAAATCTGCTCTGATGAAGAAACAAACTCATCTATATCATACATGGCCAGAGGTAAGCGCATCTTCAGCAAATTTTCATTTTTGGGTAAACAATTCTTTTAAAGCATATGATTAATTAAAACAATTTTAAATGTAAAATCAAGCCAGTGACCTTAAATTACTGGGCAGAGATTGAAAAATACAAAAATGTCAAGAATTCAAAAATTCAGAACAAGGACCTTTGATCCATTTAAGAATTTATGACATTAAGTTCAAAATTCAAACCATCCAGAGGATCTCTGCTCAAACTCTGAAATAACTCTGGGCATCTATTGTATCCTAAAGCTGTCGAAGTTTGTAAAGCACATACTGTACCCCATCTGCTTTAGATTTAGTTAAATATAGAGTGCTGATTTTCTTTTATTAGGCAAATAGAACTTCTGGCCATTAGCAATTTACAGCAAAAAAACAGACAGGTCACCATTATCTACACCCCCAGCTCACAGACAAAGATATTGGGAACAGAGGTAGGATCGTGTTTTTTCCACAGAGATACATTGTCAGGCAGAGTGATAACAGCAGCCATGCTGAGGGAGGGAGCAGCTACAAGGACCCCAGGCTGCCCCTGCCATGCCTGATCATAACCGGTAAATGTAGAGACAACACATGAAGCCCATGCAAATAGAGAGAAAGTGTGTATTCTGCTTTTGCCCAACACAAACACATTGTAAAAAATTAATTCAAACAATCAATGGCGATTATGAAGAACATAAATAGGTAAAATGGCCTCAAAACTCATTAAGCATTTACTTCTGAGAATGTCCGGACATATCCAACCAGAAATACCCCTTTCTAAAGGATACTACTGCTGGACTCTAAATTAATGTGCACTCACTACACCCGCTCTTCTTCTCCCGTTCATCAATCTCATCCATCACACGAGTGCACTTGAAATAATGACGACTTCTGCATGATGTTAATGGTGCAATTGTTTTACAGCTGAGCCAATTTTAGAAATACACTTTCTAAGTGAGACGTCATAAATAGAGTTATTCGCTCTGGGTAAAGAGCAAACGGAGGGAGGGACAGAACGGCACATGCATGTTCTGAGCATTTGCAAGTCTTTTCAGTTAACACTTTTCCCTGTAAACCGCTGTCTTTCCTACTCTCAAATAAACACCTGTGCAGATGACATCTGTGCCTGTGCCCAAACCCACAGTAACGGACTAAACCAGCCAAACATGAGCAAAATAAGAGCAACCCTAAAGGAGCAATCTGGGTTTTGTTCATTCGGCAGATGTGATGTCGTTTGCAACAAAGACAACCTCTAATATCAAGCTGTCTAGTTGACGTAATCCAGGTCCCGTCTCTCTGCTTGGCTTGTTTGTACATTTGTGAGGTGTTAGTTAACTGAAAAGACATTTGTAAACACTCCGCTCGTGCACACAGAGAGACTGTTACTGATCTTAAGCTGAATACTGGTACCAACCTTCAGAGCAAGCCTGACCCTTTTAATTTTTTTCACCCTGTCAACTGTCTTTGAGCCAATCAGAGAAAAAAGGTAAAAAGCAAATTTTAAGAAAAAAAAGACAAAATGCAAATCAGAAAAATCGAACCAAAGTAGTGTTAAGTGTTGGAAAGCAACATTCACTGCACATGATTTCATCGATTAGCAGAACAGTGTTGAGATAGAAGAGAAGAAACGGGAGTGCATGCATCACACGCCATCTCTCCAAAACCTCTCTCTTACCG